GAGGATGCCCTCCATGCCCCCCCCCCCCCCCAACCCCTTGGCACCACTACTGTCTTCCGGAAATCGGGAATGCCTCCCGCACTCCAGCAAGCAAGCAATAATCACCATCCAGATTTGGATTTTCAAATGCATAAAACACAAAAGTAACTCTTGTATCGAGATCCAACTTGCCAGTGTTTACAAAAAATATTAGGTTCAATATTTTGTGTCATTCAGCATTTTGTCTCATCTTAATTTACTGTTGTTTTTTTTTTTTATTTAACATTATTACTGCCAGACAAAAATATTTCAAGTAAACTAGAACGTAATGAAAGTTGTGGACGTAGCCCATATTAACAATTCAGAAGAGCAGGTGAATGGAAGTAAACATATCAAATTACAGCAGATATAAAAATCCGCTACTATGGAACAATGATTAATATACATGTCAAAACATTGCCACCATATGAATCACTACTTTGAAAAGATTACAATAAATCATGTTCATAGATTATAAGCAACAGCATTGCATTTATTCATGTTCAGTGTACAGCATCTCCAAGACAAAAAAAAACATGTATTCATGGGCCAACAAAAACACAAAAGGAAATTTAGAAGCATTGCACAAGATAGACAAGGTTTTACAAAGTTTGAAAGACAACTGAATAATTTTTTCTAACTATAGTTTAGGCTACATTCAAAGTAAATATTAAACTTCTCTCTATAAAGTTAGACTTAGTGACAACTTTTCATCGGACGGTTAAAAGATGAGATAAACGTTTCAACATTATATTTTCTTGGTACCAATGTCATATAAATCATAAGAAACATTAACAAGTGGATCACCTGTATTCAATACATTAATTGTAATGAATGTACATTTCAACCCTCCTTCAGTTTCTAAAAATATTACAAACATAAAAAGGGTGTTTAACGAAAGACTCGGAAAGCTTGGGAATGGTCAATAATATACAGATTTTTGAATATTTAAAAACTGAAGAAAGGTGGCGGTGGCGGGGGGGGGGCGCTAAACCACCCTTTTTTCCTTTCTGCTTTTTGTCTTAGAAAAATCAGTTTAGCCTATCAAAATTTTACCGGCCTCCTTCCAATTAAAGACCACTTTTGGTACCAGGGATTCCATGGTCTTTGGAAGCTTTGCTCCCTAATTAGAATAATAAAGATAAAAGACCACAGAAATTTGGGACCACAGAAAAGTGGTCTTTAATTGGAGGTGGTCATTAATTAGAGGGAGACCTGTATTTCCCTTTGGAGTCTGGCTTTAAGTGTTTAGGGTCTTACAAATCCTTTCTATAAAGTATATGTATGAATTTCTCGCCTCAAGAGTAGTACCTGAGGATTGGAATGTTACATGTGCAAGTACAAACTTATTTGAGTACTGTAATAATTCGAGTTGTAATTCCCTGTTCTCTATAATAATCACTTTTGTAAGCAAAAAAATAAAGCCCTGTCCAGACTATCAAATTTTATTTGACAAAAACATGTGACATAACTAAATATGGTCATGATGACATCACATCATGACCATATATAGGTATATCATGACTATATGGGTATACAACAAAGAGAACTTGATAGTCTGAAATGGAGCTGTAGCTTGGTGGTTAAGATGTTTGGTTTGCACGCTTGTGCTCAAACCCTTCAAAAAAACCAACTAGAACATCCCATGATTGCATCCTTTAACTGGCATGCTGTTGCATAAGCAAAGATCTTTCTTTTTAACTACCGGTATCTCTCTAAATATTGTTATAAGCAAGTTTAAGACAAAGTTCCAATATCTATGTTTTATCCTTGCATGTACTATTTGATTCTACAGTCTTAACACATTCTGTCCCAGCATCACTTAATAAAGTCAAATTATATAAAGCTTCAATCCTATCACACATCAAGGTATTATATTGTATTATAAATATTATTTTATTCCAAAGCCATATGAAGTTGGCTTAGAAATGGACGGGTATTTAAAAATACTGTTATGAATGGACGAATCAAGCGGACAACCATAATCGCAAAAGTATTAGAGAAAGCAAGTGTTCATTTATTTAGCTCATTCTGGACTATCAACATTTATGTGACAAATATCTGTGATATTTGCCCATATATGGGTGTGATATGACATCACCAAGCCCATATATGGGCAAATCACACTAACTGGTCACACAAACTTTGATGGTGTAGAAACAGCATAAAAGTGGAACAAAAAAGATATGGACTAATGCAGGATTTGAACAAGCAACCTTCGGAACACTGTTTCAGTACTCTACCTACTTAGCAAAACCACCCTAGTTTAGCAGTGCTTGTTTTCTAATCACTACTTTCTTTACCTAAGTTCCATTTTATGTAAATCAACACAAGTTCACACATTCAGTCTTTTGTTATATTAAAAACGGAACTTCATTACATGAGTAATGGACTTTCGACCATGATGACAATTTGAACTCTTGCGTTCCTTGCACATCAATTTAATCCAATCTTAGAATTAAGACGACAGTGAGAACTCAGAGCCTCCACATGTGCAGCCTTTAAGTGAAATCTTACTAGATGTTAACATTTTTGCGTAATTGAAAATTGCCTAATAATTACAGGTAGCCGTCAGTTGTTGACCAGCACATGGCACTATAAATTGAGTTGTTTGTAAATAATGTGTCACTCACTCTCCAACACTAACCTATGACCCTGCTTATGTTACACCTTCTGAAATAAAAACTTCACCCTATAACTATGGTATAAAAAGTAGGCCTATATTTTACAGCACTATGTACATGTTCTTAGAAACAAATTTATTTTAATTTATAATTTCCATCCAAGTATAATAGGCCAAAGAAGTTGTTGCATTGCCCAAATAGAGAGAAATTGAGAATCATTGTCAACAGGGGTAGCGTCAGTGAGTGGGCCAGGGTCCAGTCATCGAGAAGTCGTAAAAAATTAGGAATATTTTCTAAGCCAGAGACAGTGAGTCTAAGAGTACAGCGTTTTCGGGCATCTAGAGGTAACATAACTGTTTTTTTTTTGTTTCAGCCCCAACCACAGTGAGGTTGATGTGAGCGTGGCCCATTTTTCAGGGAACGATGGACTACCTGTTAGAAAATAATGGCACCATCCCTGATAGTTAGTCCAATTAATTATATTATTCAAATTAATTAATAATTGCTTATAATGCTTTTTTCAAACATCTGGCACATATTTTGGGACTCAATGGCAAAAGTTATATTTGTGCAACATAAAAACCTAAACAAAAATTGTTAAGATTGGCAGTCGATATCATGGGCTTTGCAATACAAAATTTTTATTGGCCTAATTACACTTATTTATTAGAAATTATGCATTTGATGCTTTTGAACCTCAATAAATTCAATTGGAACATCCTTATTCTAGACGAATTACCAAATTAAATAACCCAATTGTGATGTGTATTTTATACAAACATCTCAAGCAATTATTAAATGGAAGTTTTAAATATTTGTAGCTTATTTAAAACACAACACAAATGTACCACTTTTCACAAGCAAAAGTGGAAGACAAACAATAATTTATAGCAAAAACAGCAGCCTTGATGTTTGAGGGGTAAACAATCTTTCCCTCGCTTAATAAACACTAAATCAACATCAATACGAAACATATAAAAATGACATTAAAATTTGAATAACATTAAAATCAAGGTTTCTTTTATAACTCTTTGTAATATTACAGTAACACAATGGATTGGAATTTGACAATATTAGCAAAAAAGCCCTAACTACTGTAGTTCATAAAAAATGAAATATTCTGTAAATATCTTTTTGGTGTCCATGAGCATAGGCCTTCAAAAATTTGCATTTTGATGTTCTGGTAGACTAATCTTGTGACTTTTACAAAATAATGTAGTCTTGTATAATGCCTTCCGACCAATGTAGTCAACCACAAGGAGACAAGCAACAGTCAACTAGTATTACTAGTGTACACGAAAAGGTACACGATTTCAGACAAAGCTTGTACAATTGAGGTGTAAATCCGCCTGAAGTGGGACTATTGTTTTGTCAAAATTAGTATTCAAACATTTCTTAGCAAATGATTTAGGTACTAAAATTGTAGAGATCCCTGTGCCCAATCAGTGGAGTGGACATACTGTAGCTTTTAAGTCAATTAAAAAAAATATTGGCTGTGGCACGAATCCACCGTTCCGATGCACTGCCCACAAAACTAAACTGCCAATGTTGACAATTGTTATTCTCAGCGCAGTACAGTACCCTCTTTGCTCAAACGGTCTGAACAGAACCGGATCACAGTGAAGTATCAGCAACCTCATGTGTCTTCTTGAATGTTTATTGTACAGTTTTTCAGTAGGTGTATATAAAACAATCATATAGTATCATTGTTCATAAATTATGAGAGATCAGACTAATTCAACTCAATTCAAATTTAATTTTTAAACTCTTGTGTCCAATAGTTCAGTAATGGACTGTGCCTCTTGCAATACACGCTTCTTCCGTGCCCGAGTTGAAGACGTAGCCGTGTTAGCAACAAGATTGATGACGCCTGTTAAGCTTTCATTGCTCGATGATGACAAACCCATTTTGTACTTGTCTGCGTTCTGAGTTTTGATGAGCTGGGGCCTGTTCTTATGTTTACCTGCCCGTCCTGAAATAGACGGAATGTTCTTTTTTGATCCCCAAGCACTGCTAGCTGGTAGATCAGTTCTGATTTTGGCTTTTTGCCGTGGATTAGTATGACTGATATTATATTCTGAATTTTGAGTATTTTTACTACGCTTTTTATGTTCTTGTTTCCTTTTGTTTCCCTGTGAAGATTTTTCCGCTTCCTTGCGTTGGTAATCATTTGCCCTTTCAATGAGGTCATAGAAAGCAGTTGTGTTACGGTGCGTGTTCTTCTTACGCCTGCCATCTATTGTACCAACCTCAAATGCCCATAGCTTGGGATCACTGCTACTTGTTTTAAACATTTCTGTTTTATTGGTAGAGTCACCATAAGTCCTTTCAAAACATTCATTATCATCAGCAACTGATGATGGCCTTGATAAATCTGGCATTGAAGTAGTTTTACTTCGGAAATTTGTGCCATCGACACCAATATTGTCAATCATGTCTGAATTATTGTTCATGCTAGATAAAAAACTTTCTCCATCTAGTCTTGAGGTACTCGTTGCTTTTATCTCACTGATTTTCTTTTTACTCCTTTGTTTTCCTGGTTTTGGTTTAACTTTCGGTCTGGCTCCCATTGGTAAACGTTTGTTGGAAATACTTTCAACTGAACCCTCCCCAATTCCAGATAAAAGTTCAGTTGTTTTATGATCATCAGATAATCTTCTACTTGTTCCTGATATAAGCTCTGGTGCCAATGATGATAAGGATGCTGCTAAACTTTCTCTTGAGCTCGTTCCCTGGTTCCACTTACGCTGTGATGCAGGAGTTAGCCCCTCCAAAGACACCTCAATTTTGTCTAAATCTTCTACCCTCATGTTATTAGTTTCAGGTTGTCTCGACTCAGTTAAGTTATGAAGATCATAATCATTATCTTTTGAGCTTGTTGCTAGGTTCCACATATGCGAAGGAGAGGTTTGTCCTTCCACAGGCGCTTCCATTGTTTCTGATCCTTCTACTGTTACATTATGAGTTCTCACTTCAGAATGTCTTGGCTCAGTTAAATCATTAAGATCATAATCACCATCTGAGCTGTGTGTAACACTTGCAAGATCTTGTAAACTCCGGGGGCTCTGATTTGAGCCAGAATTACCGAATGTGAAATTTTCATTCAAAAGTGATTCATTAATTGTCTCTTGGAACAGCCTGTCAGGATTATCAATTGCTGGCATTTCCATGTTTTCATCATTTGCCATCACCTCCGGTGTACTTTGAATTGAAGGATTATCAACTGGGACTGGAGCATTTACATCTGCTGTGTTCCTTACTGGAGAGGACAATGCTGATTCTGATGCTTCATTAACTGTAGTAAGAGCTGTCGCTGTAAATGGAGGCACCTCACCATTTGTATATTCAGCTGTAGGACTGTAGGGGGGTGGTTGCTCATTTGGGTATGGGCCTTGCATCGTGTTCAGTGATGTAGCCCGTGGTACATAAGCTGGTACAGAGTCCATATTTGGCATCTGCAAAGAGGGCAGGTCATTTAATGAGATGTATGCTTGGTTTGAGCCTGGGATGGTGTAAACTGGAACGGCTCTTCCATCAGGGCGACTCTGCATAAATCCACCACGTACAAGAGGAGGGGGACGAGAGGACCTTGCGTTTCGTGTTCCCAATCCTGCAGCATCTGCAGTACTAATGGAGTGGTGGCGTGAATTTGATGGAACAGGACGTGGAACTGCTGCAGACGATGAACTGGAGGATCTTCTAACATGAGTGGTTCGTTGTTGAGCATTCCTACTCTGCCCGTAGCCTGGTGGTAGTGGGAGTGAACCTCGGGCTGCTGTGGTCGTATTAGTTGTATTTGTCACTGTGCTTGTTCGTTCCTCAGTGGGTACTACCTCTGAATTGATCAATGCCCTACGATCCTGGTCCTGTCCATTAAGCCCTACAATGTAAGTCTGTCCAGGGCCTGTGAACACAAGAAAGCATTTCAAAGTATTACATCACAAGGTTTAAAAAAAATTATTTTGTATCTTTGTGCAATCAGTATAATTTAAAGACATAGCAAAGGGTTCACAATTGACTAATCTAATCAAGACAAACATTCTTAAAGTTTCAATTTTTTTTTTAAATATAGAAGACAAGACTTTTATTATACCTTGTTTCACTACCACAATCTCCTGCCGACAATGATTTCAAATAAAAATATTTAATTTTTTTGTACAAAAAACCCTTTTTTTTCAAATTGTATCATGTTATCCTTTGTCGTGAAATCTCATAATATAAGGAATCTTCATTGTTTCTTTACGTTAAACGTTAAAGCACAATCAATCATATTACTCAATTGTTTACAACACATTCGTTGTTTATACGACCACTCTACAGATCTCAAGTGAAGGTGTATCGGCACACCTTATTTCCTCAAACACTAGCCATCTTTTATTCATGAATATTTATTTTCTCCTATGGATTTTAGCATCCATTTTAGATCTACATTGCTATTAGAAAGCAATTTTTGCACCCTTTTCTGAAGATTCTTCAAAAATGAAGTTTTTCGAATGTGGTATAAAATGTCACACCTCCAAATATTATTTTGATCCTCACATTGTACTACAGTTAAGGCAAAGGTCAAAACCTGAAGCTCACAAGCTGAAGTGCCCATCTTTTGCTTGAAGTGTTTGGGCCAAATAGTACAAGGCTGTTGGGGGGAGGGTTTGCCACTCGACCTCCTACAACAGCAGTCTGTTTTATGCTCCCAGAAAATGCCAGTACCAATTTATACTCCCGGGTAGATAGCAACAAACGTAGCAGATAAAAGACAAAAAAATAAATAAATAACACACACACACACACACACACACACACGGACTTGCACAGTAAGGGTTTCAAACCCTCGACCTCAAGATCGAGAATAAGAACAACAACCGATTCGCCAACCACTTCTATCAATGGGAATGAAGTTAATAAATACCCTGTATGCCTACCATTTAAGAATAACCTGCTTCCATTGTTATAGTGAAAACGATGACTGTTTGGATTATCAAAAGCATCACTGTTGATATGCTGAACCTGAGAGGAAAAAAAAAATTAGAAACCATCAATCCATATAAAGTGGGGATCATGAAGGTTTTTGCTTCCAATTCCCAGGGCCCTAGGTTATAATTTTGTACGACACCAGAAAATGTGGTCTTGTGCCTACAGTATAAAGAAAAAAATAAATAAAAATAATTTTTCCTTTTTAATTATTTTTTCATGTGTACATTCTTTAGACATACCGTAAATGCTTATTCGAGATCGCTTCTCTCGAATAAGCACCGCACCAAACATGATATTTTTCGCTAAGCGCCGCGGTGCTTAATTGAGTGATATATTAATATGTGCGTAATGAAACACTTTGAGAAACAAGGTCTTTAGTACAATGTATAAAGTGTTAGAATGAATAAATAACACAATGAAGACACAAGCATTTCTTTATAAACGTTTATTTATGATGACGTAGGACCTACGATAGGCCTACCGAACTACGGGAAAATGTGAAATAGGCAACATGGGAACAGGTATGGTAAGCACCGCGCCAATACTTTTTTTTATAAATGCCGCTCTCGAATAAGTGCCACACTGAAAGCCTCCAAACTTTTTATAACCTCATAGAGGCTTCACTTATGAAACCCTTGAAGGGTTGCCCTCCATATATATGCTAAAAAACCCCCCAAAAAATGACTCCACTCACTAAGCCTCAGAGAAACCTTGCTGATTAAACCCTCCATAAATATGGTGTAAATAACATACCGGACTTTTGTTAGATTTCCTTTCGTTGCACAAAAGCATTGATGTTAAAACGGTCGCTACACAGCATGCAAACGCTCCGAAGCAGTAGATGACACATTCCGTGAAAACAATGTCCTTCAATGTATGCTCAATCGAATCACAACCTTTGACCTCTTTGAATGTATACTGTTGACTACCTGTAGGAAATAAACAATGGTGGATGAGCACCTCTTGAATTGAGTACCTCTTGATATGCAACAGAAGTTAAGCAGACTAAGTCAACTCATCTCAATGAAACTCAGAAATTGTTTCCATAGCTGTAGACGATGAGAATGGTTAACATTTATACAATATTTTCATACAAAATATGTATGATTTGAAAGGTTATGTATTTATTTGCATATGCATAAGTTAATTTGTATAGGTCGTGAAAGACTAATGTTTATTTAAGGCGAGACTATTTTTGTACTTCGTTTCACAAACTTATTTTTTGACAACATAAAATTTAGTCTTGTTATTTAGCAAATGGTTTTTGTCAAAGACTTTTAAGATGGAGAAGAAAATAAAAATAAAATTAAATTGTTGAATGTAAACAGTGTAATATATAGGATGGTAAACTGTTTTAAATTTGTATAATGAGAAAAAAATATACATCTTAATTTGGGAGATTTTATTAGGCAGGACATAATAAAAATAAAGAAAAACTTATATTTTTTTTCTGAATTTCCATTTTTCAGGGCGGCGGGTTTTAATTGGCCAAAGATAAAATTGTATTTTTATTCGAAATAATCAATATTGGTGGTTGGTGCGTTCGCAAAACAAGGTATAAAAAAACTCTCGCCTAAAAATTCAAAATCATGTAATTCAGTATTGATACTACTCTGTGCTTTACATTTAGAAAAGAAATCAACAAAACATTAAACTATAATATTGTTTGTTTTTGTTTCTTTTGAAAATCAGAGGCAGTGTTAATTTGTGATAATTTCCATAATGAATATTCATCAGACCTTCCGGTATGCTAATGAGATTGGTTCCATTATGTTTGCTGTCAACAACATAACATCTACATTCAGCCGTAGATTGTTGGTAGACACACAGCGTTAAGCTCTCCATAAGAGGAATAATGTTGATAATTGTAGGCACTGTAATAGATACACAAATCACAGCTGATGCTATGCTCAAGCAGAGAGTAATTACTAGCTGAAAAATTAAATGGAAAACAATCATGTTAAAAAAGTGTTAGGATTAAATGGTCATGATTATTTGCATATGCTGCAGCACAGCTTTAAAAATATAATATAATTGTATTTTTTCAATATGCATTTTGATGGAAGTGATGATGACTGTTGTTCAGAACTTTAAAAAAAAGATATTGTGTACTTATTTTTTCATAATTTAATGTGTAGCCTACTGTGTTTATATATTAAGTAGTAACTTCTTATTGAATAACATTTTTGTATGTATACTTTTTACTGTTACCGTATATATCCAATTTTATATTGCAATTATAATTTCTTTTTTTTAAGGGGATCATAAACCAAATTCTAAATCTCATTGTAATTACTGAATTTGCAAAATAACATTTTATTAATATTAACAAACATTTCAATGAATGTTTTTTTAAATAAAACTAAACATATTATAAGCATTTTGCCATTACTACTGTATACAAGCAGCTACAATAAAGGTATGCACACACAGATCAGCAGATCGTAAAATTTATAATCCAGTTGTGTCGCGTCAAACACCTTCATTCCGCTACACGTATCTGGCGACACCTGCGTAAAATGGAGGATCTTTGGATGCACAATGGGAAAAAGCACTTTTCCATTCAACCATATGAATCCACCGCTACCTTTTGTCACAGGATTATCTACATAATTAGATTATTGGAATGAGTATTGTTCTAGCAGGAGCATAGAGAGACTGTCTGCTTTCCATTATGGGAAAGAAAATAACAACATTAAATCTGTCTTCTTGTTCATTAACCATAAAACCTTGAATTGAAGCCCAGGGCTCCTTTGGATGGGCTTCTTTTCGAGATATGGATCTACTATAGGCCTATAATAAATTTCCGTAGTATTTTTGTCTATTTCCATACGTTTGTAATTACAGTAGGCAACATTTCTGTAGAAAATAGGCCTAACTACGGACATTCCATAGTACTTGAGAAGTCTGGGGTAGGGGCTAGATCACTCAATGTTTATTCCATATGATTGTCTGGTTATAAAGCTAATTTAGCATATTCGAATATGTATTTTTAGATAATAAAATAACATTGATAATTATTTTAATTTCAGATTTTAAACTCCAAATTATAAAACTGAACCTCAAATGATTTCTTGAATATGGGCCTAGGTTGGGGGTGCAAACGCACCTCCCCATGGCAGCAAATTAGTTCCACTAATTCGGTGAAAGACCAAAAATGACCATTAAGTTTTCATTGGAATAGAGATTTATTTTTTGAGGGACTGTTGGAATGGCACCATATAAATGGAACAATTGATTGATTGCTTGATTGATTTAGTTCAGAATTCTCATTTGTCACACCTTCAACCACCCTAGGTCAAAACTAACTAGCCTAAGCCCCTCTTGAGAATATAGATTTGTGGTTTCTATTTATTTTTGCATTTATTTTTCAAGTGCTTTGAAGCTGTTCCAACTATTCTAGAATTATAATTATCAATTATTTAATCTTGTTTGGTATGAAAAAGAAAATTGATACTATAGACTTTTTTATTTGAATTATTATTATTAAAAAAAACCCCCAAAATTATTTATCTAACATACCTTATAATAATTATATTTTATATTTACCATACTAAATACTCAATGAAATAATTAAAATTAAATCAGTACAATATAGTTTATTTAATGAATTTCTGGCTAAACATATTTATGGCTAAATAAACATTTAATCTACTATGAAATTGTTAAATTAAATTAGCATTCACATGGCTAAATAAACAATTAATTTCCATAATGATATTTTCCTTAGATGGGCTTATGAACTGAGGAAAGTGAAAGACTCAACAGACCGCGTCGTTTTATTGTAATAGCTTCGCTTCATCAGCATATTGATTCTTGGTGGGGCTGGATAAACGAGACAAAAGGCTGACTCAGCAGTGCATACTCATAGCCAGGTACAGTATTAAGCATGCTAATACACAGCTTTTACAGTAACAGGACTCTGTAGTACCAAGCCTTATTGTAAACACTGACATTGTGTATAAACAAGACTACGCTAATTATGCCTTCTCATATTTTATGCTAAATATTGCAGTTGCTGCTGTTATGCATAATATGGTTATCAATAACTAATTAATTCAACTCCATTTATATAAACATCAATAAAACTCCAACAATTAAACATTTTGCTCAAAATAAACCACATTATCAAATTAAGAAATGTTATATTCTGTACATAAGTAAAACTAAACACATTTGAAACAATAAATCCGACAGAAAAGAATTAACATTAAGCATAATTGCCATAAAATTACTGCATATAATTAATATATCATTATAATTAATACTTATTACTCTCAGTATGTTATAATTACGCTTATTTCAAAGTCTACAGACACAATGCAAGACCAATTCACTCAATACATCTGGGATTCGAAACCTACAATACCAGTCTTAAAAAAACTAATAACAATAGATTATTACATTTTCACACAGTCGATTGTGTATCAGTTCATATTTAAGCTTGACGGAAAAATAATTTTTTACAGTAATTTTTCACCGAGCTGGTACTACTGTTTCGCTGGCTGCATGTGTTTACTTTCGCATTTGGTAGCTGTGTCTTTAGTCAGTTGTTTTACAGTATTAGAACATTTAGACACAACAGATCTATAAACTAGATTGGCATCTGGACTTATGTTTACTCCCAGTCATGTAGTCGATTCATGCAAATTTATTCTAATTTTCATTTCATAACAAAATGGTCTGTATGTGCTTACTAACATTTATAGTTGTATTTACGTTAAACAAAACACCAAAAAGTAACCCATCATTATTTGCATCATTGATTCTTTAAACTGGCATTTGACTGTTGGCTCTAGTGTAAAGAAGCTTCCTTTATTTAGTCCATTGGTATATTAAATGAATGTATAATAAAAATGGGAGACTGATTCTCAAAGCTGAAAAGCTGCTATGAATACAAATCCTACATTAACAACATGGTACTGTATGCGTTGCTGTTGTAAATATTAGCAGTTGGTAAGTGTACAGTATTGTATCTGTGTAGCATTGTTATACTGTATAAAAATAAGTACACTAAATATGGTAATGGGGACTTTGTGGGACAATACCGTACGTGGTCTCTCAAGCACTGTAACTAAATAGAAAAATACATAAGTAATCAAATAATCCTAGTACTAAGTTACTAAACTACCTCTGCAACAGGATGTGGATAAATATAGGCCTACATGTATACAGTAATGCATGTAAAATTTGAGATACTGTACTGACAAAAGTAGTGTATTGAAACATGCTACATTGTAAAGGTACTGTTGGCAGTGAACTTAACATTTATCAGATAACCATTAGTATCTGACTACAACAAAAGTCAAGTTTCATTTATTGTCATTCATTACTAACTATTATCATCATTTATATTGTTGTTGATGTTATAAAAAAATATATTATGAAAACATTTTATTCATCATTTAATTATTATGATATAATGATAACTGATATCATATAAAATAGCAATTACAACCATCATGGTCAACTAAATCACGATTATCTGTACCCATATATTTAGATCCTCATTACTGTATATTTTCGTAAGATAATTAGGTACATTAAATGTTTGCATTATTTCATCATTTAAAAAAAATAATTAGGCAAACTGTACTGCTATGAACATTTAAAATAAGGCACAGCACTTTCTAAACAAATAACTCATTTAAGCTACTGTTTTTGTAATATAATTTGGAAGACCTTTGACTTTTGCAAGCAGTGCTAAAAGACTGTCTTCTGAAAATATAGTTCAATTTTAATCAAGGGTTAATCATACACTAAGTTATAACTTTAAAAAATAATAGCAAGCCTGTAAAATTCATGCACAGCTTAGAACAGAAGAAAAAAGTAAAATAATTATAATCAGCAGGGACAATGTGTATTAATTAAGCACAATAGCATAATTATAACGTAAAGGAACTGAAGACTTACAAGGCCAACAGGACGTTTCTTGGATAACAAGATCACAGCAATACCGGTAACCAACAACTGAAATAAATTGTAACATCATTTTAGAATTGTTGAATGTTGATTCAAACCTAGGGTTCAAATAGTAGTAGAATTTTATTCAAATTTGTTTTAAATTTTATTCTCATCAAACAGTGAGTAAACCATTATTTATATGATAAAAAAAAAACCAATGTTAAGGCTTAGATAATACTGTCTTGTGAGCACTAAAATTCTCTTTTTCATTATAAGGATATTACAGTACAGTAATACACTAGCATTATCCTCTGGCATGTTTGGTACTCTAATGAAAATTATGAAAACACATTGGCTCCTTCATTTTTAAACAATATTTATATTTTAAATTCATTAATCTAGAGAAGCTTATCATATCAGATAAAATATATTCTAAAATCTATAAATTACTAATTTTAATAATAAATTATATGGACGGTGTAATGTATATATTTAGGATTCAAATGATATTTTGTGTTGCAACTTGTTAAACTTACCAGAACAGCTGGTACCCACACCGGTAGAGCAGCATTTATATATTGTAGGGAGGTTGTCAGACCCTCAGCGACAAGGAACAATATGAAGAGTACTATCCCAAGTAGGGACAGGAATACTCCGCATACAGGCAGTACTGACAGGTTGTCTGTGCAGCATAGCAGACGCCTAGCCATGGTGTGTTTCCTAGGTCAGCGGTGAGTCAAATCCATCGAGACAATTGCTGCTTACTACGGTATGAACCACAACCTAAAATCCAAGTGAGTAAAATGACTTTTGATTGTATATATTACATAATAAAAATTGATGTTTCTAGAAGAAAAAGTCTTGAAGGTACACTGGCATAATTCCTGGTTTAACTCACAAATTTCCTATGTGGACTCTTTTCACAACATACAGTAGAACCCTTCCTTTGGGACACACCCATATTAAGGGGACACTTTTCTGTGAAACGAGGGGAAATATCTTTTTACATACAGCCAACCCCTATAACATCTGTTGATTTCATATCATAAATTGACTATTTTTTGCATTGCAATTAGTTATAAATTAGTTATAATTTCAACTGCAACTAGTTCTTAGGTAAATTGAAATAAAATTATAAATAATCTTTAAAATTATTGAATGAAAACATGCCAAAAACCCCTATTAAGGGGGAAATTTGTTTGCTCCTGAAGGTGTCCCCTTAATAGGGGGGGGGGGTTAATGTACAGTATTTATATATCAATTCCCACCCAATAGTATAAAGGCTAGAATTCAAATTATTATTAATTATAATAGGCTACAGTTGGTATCTGACATTCTACTGTGAAGGGACCCCTGAGCCAACATGGGACACTTGTACTACTATATATCGATTACTAAAACCCATGGGGTTCTCATCCCCCGGCCTTGTGTCTCGTTGTTACGCCACAGAGCAGGATGGCCTCAACCTCCTGTCTCGTACATCGTACTACTTTTTGTTTGCCATTTCTGTTATTAGGTACACAGGCCAAACAAACAGCAGATGAATAATGCAGTTTGTCATATTTATGCAAACTGACTTAATATTAATACATAAATAAAATTGTTGGATACATTTCCTTGTTGATTGAGTATCAAAATTACATTGGAATTATGGATGATAGCAAGCACTTCATATGGTAGACCTAGGACAAGCCTATAGATTGGTAATTATCAACTAGGGCCATCAAATAGGCCTAGGCTACTCCACGGAGTAGCAACCCTAGCCAGACCAGACCACCGCATCGATCTCCACCACCAGGCAAACCAAAGAAGAAAGAATGTGGGTCAGTATTTTCTCCTCCCCTCTAGGCTAGGCCAGACAAGACAAGAAGGTACAGTACTCTTTTTTAGGTAGGTGGAGGTATAACTCCCTGGGTGAACAACATAAAAACAATACCTATCAATACCTTATTCGTTACACGTCTCGTTTTATCATTTTTTATAAACTCCATTAACAAATCTGATATCCACGTCTATCGTTATTTCTGTTGATGGTTCGACCGTTGATACCGCTGTCATTCAATTCTCCGATGATTGATTGCTCATCGCGTTGTTGTGTTTGTTGTTTACGGGGAGGGGAGGAGAGATTTGATGAAGTTCGTAGCGGGCGCTATTCAATGCGAAAAATAAACAAGATGTCAGCCCCCATGAAACACAAACTTTGTCGAATTTTACGTCGATGCAACCTCAATTTCATGCTTGTATTCCTCTTTGTTGCATCTACTATTTCTGTATTTGTTACATATTTATACGTAAATACCGTTTTTGGTGATTTTAACGAAGAAAGGTAGGCTATGTTTACGATTATTGTTTATTTAGTTTCTAGCCTAATAATAAGCTATTTAGGCTACAGTAGCTAGGCCTAGCCTAGTAGCCTGGGTAGGCTAGACCAGGGCTAGGCCTAGCCTACCCTAGTATAGGGCCTAGGCCTACAAACACTAATCATAGTGTATCTGGCAGAATTATAGTCAAACCGTACCCATGCCAACACGTACCCACAAACCGTACCCAAATTTTGGTCAACCCGTACCCAGAATTTTAGTCAACCCGTACCCATCTTTGTTTGATCAAACCGTACCCATCGTTGGTCAAACCGTACCCAAGTTTGATGAACAATATTATTTACTATATAGAACATTACGCAAATTATATTGTCTATTTAGATATTAATCATATCATGTATTATGAACGCCTAACTTACCGATTAGAAGATGTATTCTAATATCATTTTTGTTTTCACGTTATAATTAAGAAGTTATAATTTTAGATTATTATTGTTAGGCCTACGTATAGTTAAGAAGTTATAATTTTAGATTATTATTGTTAGGCCTACGTATAATTAAGAAGTTATAATTTTAGATTATTATTGTTAGGCCTACATATAATTAAGAAATTATAATTTTAGATTGTTAGGCCTACGTATAGTTAAGAAGTTGTAATTTTAAATGATTATTGTTAGGTCTATGTATATGTATGGAAAATGATGTAATGTATCAATTATAAATATATATCGAAATATCCGTTTTGTTAATAAATTTGTGTTCTGCAAGACAACTTTCAATGATTGTACACTGTTTCCTTTTCATTTTATATATACTGTATATATATATATATATATATATAGATATATATTATATATATATGTATGTATATATATATGTATGTATATATGTATGTGTATATATATGTATATACATATATGTATATACAACTTGCAATGATTGTACACTGTTTTTTTTCATTTTATATATATATATATATTTTATATATATATGTATGTATGTATATATGTATGTATGTATATATGTATATATACGCGGAGAATGCTATCTTGTGTTTATAAGATCTTTGCCTAGGCCTTTATATATAAAATAACTAAATAGGGCCTATATAATAAAGAAATAAAGAATAGACCCAGAGACAAAAGAAAAGAGAAAGAAAAAATTAAAACCAGAGAAAATTAATGAAAATAAAATTGAAAATTATGAGAAAAGATAAAAAAAAAGGCCCAGAGAGAAAATTTACCTTAATAATATTAGCGGCAACGACAATCTTACAGACCACACAAGATCGTACAGATACAAATATATTTTGGGTATGGGTTGGCCAAAATGACGTGGGTACGGATTGACCAAACGTGGGTACGGATTGACCTAAATTTGGGTACAGTTTGACCAAAGTGGGTACGGGTTGGTATGGGTACGGGTTGGTTTGGGTACGGATTGACCAACACCCATCTGGCATAGCCTCAAACTCCTGAAGCTAGGCAGGGCCTGGTCACAGAGGATACTTATTATAGGCATATGTATGGCTAGTTCAGTTGGCTTTTTCATATATTACTCTTCGAGGCCAGGTCAATATATTCTTTTTCTATTTAAAAAAAAATTTCGACTAAACCAACCTACTATCTAACTACTTTAGTACTACTATTAAATATTATACACCTGCCAACTCTCACGCTCACGCTCGTATATTATGGAATGCCAGAAGAATATATTGTATTAATTATGGAAGAGTATGTAGGCCTAGGCTAGGCTTCTGTAATCTATATCACGTGAACAAGAAACACTTGTACCTATAATGTTAGGAGCATGGCAGCTGTAACATTCTGCTTCCGTTTTAGCCCATTGATGCAGTTCCATATGTTATTTGGCTGGAGGCTGAGGTGCAGTATTGTACTGTAAATCCCAAGTTCTTTTGTTGAACCATCTCATATGGGCTGTCCTGGTGGCCGTGTCACTGTGGGCACAGGTTTAAGGATGAGAATTACTTCTGGTTGAGGGGTTTTGTGCAGGACAGGTGACTAAAGAGCACAATTGAGAGAAGGGGATTTTTGGTAAGATGTCTGAAAGAACTAACTCACTGACATAATTAACTTCATTGCCTTATTTCACTGAAAAAAGTTGTTAATAATAATTCTATGTACTTTCTTCTCTATAGTGATAAGTACCTCTTGCATTTTGAAAAGCATGATGATATTCTGGTGAATATCGACACTGATGACGATGATGATGTGGATGCTCCGTCCCATCGTGTTAATTTAATAGTAAACAGAATAATTAATAAACAGACATTTGAAATCAATGGATGGTGGATGCCATCTCAAGAATGGACAACAGAGATTGACTGCAATACTGGGAAGATGACAATATGTTCAAAGGTAAGGCCCTATAAACAAATTTACCCTTTCTAAGTTTCTTATTTATTCAAATTAAAATATGTGATTGAGGTAATACAAGCAATATCTATTAACTATTTACTAAAAAAAAATCCAAAATAAAAATACTGTTTTTTCCAAAAAATATTTTCACACAATTTTGTTTTTGTCAATGCCTTAGAAGACACGTGGGCGAGTGTGATGAACCTAAGTGTCTGTTAAGTGGCATGGAAAGCAGTTTTTTTTTTTTTATAATTTTCATTTGAAAAAAATTTTTCAAGTAAAAAGTTCAATTATTGAATTATATTAATTATTTATTTATTATTCAAACAGGTTTTGTTAACTTTTCTTTATACTGTATACATTAGATATTAAATGACACTTATTCTTTATTTTTTTTTCAGAGTTTAATTGTCCAGTGCAAGCAAAATAGTGTGAGAGCTATCTACCAATATTTACCTGTAAGTTTCCCAACTTATATTTTTCAACATGAAAATACTAGGAGAAAATATTTAAAACGTTTTGTCCCTCCACTCATCAAAAAGTGTTACATCTTATATCTGTCTGTGTTTTTATATTATGTAGTTATAGTTATTTTTTGAATTCCAGCATTACACAGAGCCAACCAAAATTTCCCTGTATGATTTGTACATTGATAAATGAAGTTACATTGAGTATTGTAAAGTCAAAGTATATTTAGTGATGTTTTTTTTTTTTTTGTTGATAAAATTAAAACTTTTAAAATTCACTATTGGCAGTTTTGAAGAAACCCAGGGGTCCCAAGTCCTCCGGAACTCGCGGGAATCTCCCGGAAATCGGGACTGCCTCCCGCACTCCCACAAGCAAGCAAGAATCTCCCGGAAATTAACCCATCTCCGAAAATTCAGAATTTTGCATGTTTTCACTGTTTTATTATCAATTTTTTAAGGAAGTCAGTGCTGATTAGTATCACTATGTGCAGCAAAATAAAATTAAATGTGTTAAGAAAGATCATCAACCAGATCAGTGGCTGATTCAAGGGAGGGGGAAGCCGGCCTGGGCCCCCAAATATTTCAAAATTATGGCAAAATGGGGTACAAAAGAAAAATTCAAAAATTTAAGGCTGAGGGGGACAGTTACTGGCCATATAGGGCCATATAGAGGTGCTATAATCTGATGACGATGATGATGTGGATGCTCCGTCCCATCGTGTTAATTTAATAGTAAACAGAATAATTAATAAACAGACATTTGAAATCAATGGATGGTGGATGCCATCTCAAGAATGGACAACAGAGATTGACTGCAATACTGGGAAGATGACAATATGTTCAAAGGTAAGGCCCTATAAACAAATTTACCCTTTCTAAGCTTCTTATTTATTCAAATTAAAATATGTGATTGAGGTAATACAAACAATATCTATTAACTATTTACTAAAAAAAAAATTCCAAAATAAAAATACTGTTTTTTCCAAAAAATATTTTCACACAATTTTTTTTTGTCAATGCCTTAGAAGACATGTGGGCTAGGGTGATGAACTAATAATTCTTTTTATTGGGCCTAAGTGTCTGTTAAGTGGCATGGAAAGCAGTTTTTTTTTATAATTTTCATTTGAAAAAAAGTTTTCAAGTAAAAAGTTCAATTATTGAATTATATTTATTATTTATTTATTATGTTTATTATTCAAACAGGTTTTGTTAACTTTTCTTTATACCTGTATACATTAGATATTAAATGACAATTATTCTTTATTTTTTCTCAGAGTTTAATTGTCCAGTGCAAGCAAAATAGTGTGAGAGCTATCTACCAATATTTACCTGTAAGTTTCCCAACTTATATTTTTCAACATGACAATACTAGGAAAAAATATTTAAAACGTTTTGTCCCTCCACTCATCAAAAAGTGTTACATCTTATATCTGTCTGTATTTTTATAGTTATGTAGTTATAGTTATTTTTTTGAATTCCAGCATTACACAGAGCCAACCAAAATTTCCCTGTATGATTTTTACATTGATAAATGAAGTTATATTGAGTATTGTAAAGTCAAAGTATATTTAGTGATGTTTTTTTTTTTGTTGATAAAATTAAAACTTTTAAAATTCACTATTGGCAGTTTTGAAGAAACTCAGGGGTCCCAAGTCCTCCGAAACTTGCGGGAATCTCCCGGAAATCGGGACTGCCTCCCGCGCTCCCGCAAGCAAGCAAGAATCTCCCGGAAATTAACCCATCTCCGCAAATTCAGAATTTTGCATGTTTTCACTGTTTTATCAATTTTTTAAGGAAGTCAGTGCTGATTAGTATCACTATGTGCAGCAAAATAAAATTAAATGTGTTAAGAAAGATCATCAACCAGATCAGTGGCTGATTCAAGGGAGGGGGAAGCCGGCCTGGGCCCCCAAATATTTCAAAATTATGGCAAAATGGGGTACAAAAGAAAAATTCAAAAATTTAAGGCTGAGGGGGACAGTTACTGGCCATATAGGGCCATATAGAGGTGCTATAATCATAAATTTTCACCTGTGAAAGTCTTCCCCTCCCCCTTCCCTTTCGACCCATCACCTCAGACCTCCCGGATATTACTTCTTCCAACTTGGAACCCCTAGAAACTTGTTTCTAGCATTGCTTATTTTGTTATTCCCTTTCATAAAGTGATGACATGTATAAAATAAAATAATGTATTGGAAAGAAATGTATTTTGATAATGATCACAGTCATAACAACTTTACAATTTTTACATTTTATTATGATGCTGTAAATATTTAGTTGTTATTGACAGTTTATTTAAAGTCGTAGTCCAGATTATACGATTCAACAATAGATTGTGGATACTATCTGCTTTTCAATCATCTAAAATCTCTTCTCTTTTTTGTTAAGTTGAAACAGGGTAATAGTGTAAGAGGGTTATATTTTGCTGCTAAAAGTTCATCCGTTAATATGCAAGAAGATCATCAGTTTGTAAGTGTATTTGTCTATTTAAAATTGTTGGTATGCCTTGCTCCTATCAAATATCAGGGATTAAAAAATGTTTAGTTGTATGCAAGGTGTTGTATGGGTTGCGTTGGTAGCGCCAGGGCTGGTACCTCTGATAAGTGGTTAGTACCCCAGACAGGGGGCCTCTTATCTTGCAGGTTTTCTATCAAATTATCCTATTTAAGTAATGAATACCATAATGAACACAATTTTTTCACTGATGGGGGTGGTAGTATGGTCCCCTTGTCGGGGAGCTTGGACCACTCGTCAGGGAATTCCTGGCGCCGCCCCTGTTTGACTAATCATGTGACATGGCTAAATAGGGTCGTGATGACATCGAATCATGACCATATATAAGCATATCATAACTGTATATGGGCATATAACAGTTTTTTGTCAAAAGAAAATTTGATGATAGAGTACATAGACCTTAATAGACAAGTGACTGACAGTAGCAGCTTTACAACCCGACGAATGTTGGAAGCTTGGAAGTTCAGCGCAGCGGTAACGGTTTCCCAATCTCGAGGTTGGGGTTTCAATTCCTTACTGTACATTTCATTTGTGTCCTTAAGCAAAGCACTTTATCTACATTTCTTCTCTCCACCCAGGAGTTTAAATGGGTACCTGGTGTGGTTGCTTACTCCTGCGCTGATTATCAGCAGCAGTACTTAGCATGTAGATCCAATGACCAGGAAAAGGAACTGCGCTTTATAAATGCCCTGCCAGTACCAGTATGGTTGTATTTAACCTCCTTGTGACATGATATTTTAAAACTTTTTTTTATTTTATCAAAGATTGAATAATTAATGTATTATATAAAGTAATTCACATTTTCCATATAATAATAAGTATATAAATAATAAATCTTACCATATATTTGTGTTATTTTTCATCTGCTGCAGGCTCAATTGTCCATGTACAGTGCAATAGCTTATTTGAAATTCAATGATGGAACAACTCAGATACTCAGGTACTGTAGGATTTATATTTATTCCAAAATTATGAAGAAACTGATGATATTGTGATTAATTTGAAATCTTTCATGTTTTTATCTATTTATAGGTTGGATTATCCTGGAGGTTCCCATTCATATACTTTAGCTGAAATAGAAACTGTAAGTTGAATTTAAATACTGTGGTTGTGGGAGAGATGATAATGATGGTGATGAAGGGGTTGATGGTTAACAATGGGCTCAGCAATGACATTGTTGACTGATTGTCAATAATAATGATGATTTAGAGAGCAGCTTAGCTCAGTCGGCTAATCTGGTGGTAGCCACTGTGTGTGCGCTGAACCGTGGAGATCTCCAGGTCCCAGTTCAATTCCCATTTGCTGTGGTTCAGATGGAAAGCTGATATACAAGTTACAATAGCGCACCATCTTTCAAATGAGACGTTTAAAGCCGTTGGTCCCGTGTGCATTTATGGCCTATGTGGACGTTAAAAAATGCAGTAAATTCTTCAGAAAAGAGTAGGGGATTGTCTCCCAGTGTACTGCCCAATCACCACCAGAAGTACCCCATTGGAAATAAGTCTTCTTCTAAACTTTTGTGGGCTATCCTTGGTGTTTACACCGAATATAGCCAATCCAATCCAATGTAACCTCTGTGAGTGGCGCTGCCTCCTAGCCCAGGTGCTGCCCAAATCTTTCATTTTGGGGTTGTACTCGTAGAAAAATATATGAAACAGAAAGTTTATTAAAAATTTAAATTGAAGATTAGTAGTTATTTTAGGAAATGGATTTTGAATAATTTGATTTTAATTTCTATTAATATTGAATTTAGTCAATTTCTTGTCATTTGTTATTATAATTTTACAAGATGTCTACATATAAGTGGATTTTACTGCACTCCACTGTACTGTGAGAAGGCCTCCATGACCACCTTTGATTGAGTATCCATCCTCTGTAAACAAGGTTTAAATATTTTTAAAATATCAATTGTGATTATGTGATAACTTTATGTACATGTTTTTTTTTATTGTAGACTTTCATCAATAACAAAACCCTAGTTAGCATCATGGTTGTACTTGGTTGCTATGGTTATCAGGGAGTTGCCAAGTTTGTTGATGTTACTATCACTCCAATTAACAGTAAGTAGACAATACATTCATGTTGTTACATAGTTGATTAAGCCTTTTCAGGGTCATTATTGACATTGTTTTATATTATTTATTTTTAGCCATTCCGACCTTCTTAACGTTATAGATTTAGTGTCAGTGGTAATAACAATAAGTATATGTGGCAAAGACAAGCCAAACCAGTCACTCGTCGCAAATCGTGTTTCAGAGAAAATGGCCAAAACATGCTAAAATGTCAAATTTTCAAAAATCTATTTTATTGCACTAAACTAACCTTTATATATCTACACACCATCCTATGCTGTTATTTTCCCCATTTTCAATGTTAAAACAACACTTTTTAAGGATTTAAAGATAGTTTCTGCATGAGAAATGCCTGAAATCATAAACTTTAAAGGCTTATTTCTCATATATTGTTCTTTAAACAGCTGTGTGGTTAAACGCTTGTAACTTCATAAGGAAATGTCCGATTTGAATGATTTTTTTACTATTTTATAGCTATTATTTTACTCTTTAACACTGTATAAATAACACAAAATTGATTTTTGCGACGAGTGACTGGTTTGGCTTGTCTTTGCCACATATAAACAAATTTTACTACTCACCTACTGCACTATTTAGGATATTTCGGCTCCATTCCCCGGAGCCCCGTTCCCCTCTCTGGCTTCGTATCGTAACAAGACTCCCTTGTTGAACTGTTTTCCAAAATAAGCCTATGAAATAATGCCATGCCATATGCCTAGATAACACTGACTTAGAAAGAAGTAAAAATTCAACAGTCTGTTACTTGTACAGTTATTCAAGTGAACTGCCAGTACAGATGGCGTGATGAGTTATGAGTTAAAAGTAGCTACAAAAAAAACTGTCAAACTGTAGACACACGCTCTGGCTGGGTGCCTATAGATGTGTATAAGAGACAGGTTTAAAGCCGTTGGTCCCGTGTGCATTTATGGCCTATGTGGACGTTAAAAAATGCAGTAAATTCTTCAGAAAAGAGTAGGGGATTGTCTCCCAGTGTACTGCCCAATCACCACCAGAAGTACCCCATTGGAAATAAGTCTTCTTCTAAACTTTTGTGGGCTATCCTTGGTGTTTACACCGAATATAGCCAATCCAATCCAATGTAACCTCTGTGAGTGGCGCTGCCTCCTAGCCCAGGTGCTGCCCAAATCTTTCATTTTGGGGTTGTACTCGTAGAAAAATATATGAAACAGAAAGTTTATTAAAAACTTAAATTGAGATTAGTAGTTATTTTAGGAAATGGATTTTGAATAATTTGATTTTAATTTCTATTAATATTGAATTTAGGCAATTTCTTGTCATTTGTTATTATAATTTTACAAGAGGTCTACATATAAGTGGATTTTACTGCACTCCACTGTACTGTGAGAAGGCCTCCATGACCACCTTTGATTGAGTATCCATCCTCTGTAAACAAGGTTTAAATATTTTTGAAATATCAATTGTGATTATGTGATAACTTTATGTACATGTTTTTTTTTTGTAGACTTTCATCAATAACAAAACCCTAGTTAGCATCATGGTTGTACTTGGTTGCTATGGTTATCAGGGAGTTGCCAAGTTTGTTGATGTTACTATCACTCCAATTAACAGTAAGTAGACAATACATTCATGTTGTTACATAGTTGATTAAGCCTTTTCAGGGTCATTATTGACATTGTTTTATATTGTTTATTTTTAGCCATTCTGACCCTTTTAACGTTATAGATTTAGTGTCAGTGGTAGTGGTAATAACAATAAGATAAGTATATAAACAAATTTTATTACTCACCTACTGCACTATTTAGGATATTTCTCCATTCCCCGGAGCGCTGTTCACCTCTCTGGCTTCGTATCATAACAAGACTCCCTTGTTGAACTGTTTTCCAAAATATGCCATGCCATATGCCTAGATAACACTGACTTAGAAAGAAGTACAAATTCAACAGTCTGTTACTTGTACAGGTATTCAAGTGAACTGCCAGTACAGAAGCCGTGATGAGTTATGAGTTAAAAGTAGCCACAAAAAAAACTGTCAAACTTTAGACACACGCTCTGGCTGGGTGCCTATTAGTTTTTTTTTCTTCTATTGAAAATTTTTTCATTACCATGTTATCTTTATGTTGTGCATGATATGTGGTTTTTTTTTCTTCATTTAGATGGCAGTAATTCAATTAGTAGCAGTTATCTCATTTCAAGGTGTCCAAGGAATATCATGAAACCAAATGATAAGGATGAGTTTATGCAGGAAGTAATGATAACAAGTGAACAGGTACTCACTCATATTATCAAGTGGCTCAATTCAATTTTCATTTTCAAGTCAATTTATTTTATTTGCAACAAGTGCCATCACAGGTCAATATTTCCAGAAACACAAAATAATAATACAATGGGGTAACTATGCATCATTGGGTAGGGACGTTATTCCACAAGCTTAAAATGACCAGCATACTCCAATCCTAATGGAACTATGCAATACAGTGTAGGGGTGTTACTCTCCTAAGGCCCTAATGACCCACCTACCCAAACCTTATCGAGCTATGCATCACAGGGTAGGGACCTTACTCCACTAAGGTCCCAATAACCCATATACCCCCAACCCTAATCAAACTATGCATCATAATGTAGGGACTACAATTTATTTATCGTTCAATTTATTTATTCTTATGAAATCTCTGCAAAACTCCTCCCAGATTTGATTATTGGTGGATTATATTATTTCAAAATTTGTGGTTAGTGTTTTGTCTGTTTACATTTCATTATTATTTATTTATTGCCAACATACATCTATTTATATAAGTAATTGTAAGGGTATCATAAATATAACATAATTTTATTAAACATAAGTATTGATATAACAATGATGTAATTTTCTTTTCTTTTTTTTATTCTGTAATATTTTTTACAGAATGAAGGCGTGATAACACTTGTAACACAGCTGTCAATGGATGACATTCAATTGTTGACCCGTGTCAATCAGAACTGGGATGATCAACTGTCTGTCGCCCTCTATGTACCAACAAAATCAGAATCAAAGGACAGTGGTCATGAATGGCAAAGGTAGAGTTGATTTTTTTTTTGTGTAAAGTATGTTATGTATAAGCTTTAGAATGTAATAATGTACAGTATTTGTCAAAAACTATCTTGTTTTATGTGACAAACGTGATTTTTCTATCAGGTTTGTCTATGACATTATCATACCCATATATGCGTAAATCACACATCTTATCTTTTTATAGTGTGGAAAGAGTTTAATCATAGTGAATGGTGAAAAAATGTGGCACGGCTGTAAAGCTTTAGGTTTCAATCAAAAGGTTCTTGGTTCGAATCCTAGGCTAGATCTTTGATAGTTGGCAATAAGTGATGACAGATTACGGAAGTGTTAGTCAGCATCATACATTATATATTAATGGATAAAAGGTTGTCTCTACCTGTGGTCCTTCTCTTTTCAGACTTTACATCAACAAAAAAATTAAACCTCTTAAAGCTCAATCCAGAACAAATATGATTGCAGTGTTTGCAAACACAGTAAGAGAATAATGGTTTGTTTATGCTAATGCAAATAAATGCAGGTTATTATTGCTTACCAAAGTTTTGCAACAACATATATTTTACTGCTATATAAGGAAGGAAGTTTAATTTGATGTCTACTAACTATCATGTTCCTATGAATTACTATTACTAGATGCAAGATGAATACCCAGTGAATTTCCTGAGAAATCTAGCATTAAGGTAAATTGTTTCATTCAAAACTTCTGAACTGCTCACCAATCACAAAATGTTATAGTGTAGGCCTAACATATGCTTCTTACCCAAGCTTTTGTAGCAACATGACTTCAATATGATTGTTGTTAACCGGGTGATGCCAGGATTTGCCCGACGGGGAGGTCGATGTCCCCGACGGGGGGCCGAATCCCCAATGAGAATATAAGTGGTCTTGGCTCAAAATCTCGAAAGTGATTCAGGGAGTGTATACCCTGAAAATGATGACAAATTCAAAGGCTTATTTTAACGATTTTATAGTACTAATATGTAAACAATTTATGTAATTTTTTTATTCTCCTCGACAAGTGTGTTTTTCTCCCTGACTGGTGAATGGGAAGGTCTCCCTCCAATTAATGACCACTTTTGGGACTGGGGTTTGCAAGGTCTTTATCAGCTTTGGTCTCAAATTAGAATAATAAATATAAAAGACATTTGTTAATTTGGGACCACAAGCAATTGGTCTTTGATTGGAGGGATTTTTAATTGGAGGGGTTTTTAATTATACCTGTATTTTAATTCATACAAATCCAAATTAAATCAGTGTTTGAACAAGCATCTATTTAAAATATTTATGTTTATTGATGTTTATATTTTAATCTGTCTCTCTGATGGTCAACAAATGTTTTCAACAGACAGTCAACGACAGACTTCATATTTATCATTGATGCAGACTTCTTACCATCGCCAAACTTCAAGGAAAGCTTTTTAAAATGGTTGGATTTTGACACAATTAAAGGGAACATGGACAAAATTGCATTTGTTGTACCAGCGTTTGAATTTCAGGACAGTGCAAAGGTTATTAATATTTCTGTCTTTAATTAATACTGTAACGATGTGGTGGACGTGATGGTGGTGTTGGTGATAATGGTGATAAACAAAAGTATTAAACACATATTTTTAAATCATATGATATGCTCTTTATGCATGTAATGTTTAGTTGTCTTGTAATTTTCTGTTTCTTTTACAGGAGGCTATTCCCCCAGCTTCTAAGGAAGATCTTGTGAAGGATGTTTATGATCGTGAAGGGTCAATTGTCCCTTATCATATCCTTAAACCTAGGTTAAGGCTTAACTTTAATTATTATGCCTCTTTTTTACTTAATTTTTTTCAGTTACTAATCCAAACTTTCTGAATTAATCCTTCCTATGATCAATCAATCAATTTAAAGTCCGTAATTAATCCATGCTAGCATGTGTTGGACTGTTCACCATGATAGCTTTCCTCCAGTCATTTATATATCTATTACTATTCATTTCATTTCCTATCAAATATTTTTTTTCTCTCATCTTTATTAGTTTTTCACAAGGATTTGATTTAACAGGATGCCTGACAGACAAAAATCGTGTTACATATTAATGACTTATATTTCAAAGGGCAGTAAGCTTGAGTCGTACCTTTGTGTTTTTATATTTGACTTAACTCTATTCCAACAATACCTTGAAAATCCAGATGCTCATAGACTTACAAACTATCCAGTCTGGTACAGGTCTAAGGAACCCTACAAAGTGACTGGATATCAAGACCAATATGAGCCTTATGTCATATTAAGGTGAGATAATTAGTTTTCTTCATATACACAACATAGGAAAAGGGGACATTTTGATATCTTCCATGGATTTTAGTGTAGTGGTTACCATTTTAATAGACAAAATACATGCCAACCAACTTACCAACCCTAATTTTCAGTGGTCACTGTGCTTAGAGAACACAACCATTTGTTTGCATTAATTTCATACTTATTTTTAGTATTATTTTATGTGGAAAATTAATGCCTGGTATTATTTTTATTATGTTTTAGGAGGACACCTTCGCTTCCTGAGCATAATGAGCATTTTTCCAGCAGTTTATTCAACAAAGTCTCATTCACTATGGAGTTGAAGGCTGCAGGGTAAGCATTTTGTTTTTAAATGGTTTTATATATTTTGTTGTGTATTGAGACATAAAGACATCAAATCAACCATCAAGCTAACTTTTAGAACATTCCATCACTTAGGGGACAGATGACTGAAGGTTTGTCTATACTGTGAGATTTTATGTGACAAATATGCATGAATGCTCATATTTGGGAAAGGCATGATGATATATTACACCCATATATGGCTATATCACGGATATTTGTAACAGAAAACTTACAGTGTGGACAAAATTAATCTTCACATATGTGAATATGTGTATATTGTACTGTCTTTTGAAGAAAATATCTGTTCATTTTAAGGTTTAACATGTTTGGAAAACAAAAACAGTTATATTGCTACATAGTTTGATGTTGGTGTAGAGTGCAATGCTTAATCATATTTGTTTTTCTCCATCTCTTTCAGGTATGAATTCCTTGTCCTTCCAGATGTATGGGCGATTCACATGCCTCATCGGCAGAATTCTCATAGCGTGCCACCTTTAAAAGACCCACCGCAACTTGATGATCATGTACGCAGATTTGAGTTTGTTAGCAGCCTTTTAACGAGGTATGGAATAGGGCGGTGTATGCATAGACTCCATGATGTACAAGATAAACAAAAGCCTGGAAGATTTCATTGAAACAGTAGACTACTGCATCCATGGCCGTTAACAGAAGGGTGAATGTCAATTAGTATGTCAGCGACTTTGGATGCATATTAAGGCGAATTGTATGACACAGCCAGTAATGCGTAGGCAACCTGCAGCCATATCTGCCCTTGTTCCAGTGGCTGCTTGCCTATGCTCCTCTTTAAAATGCTTTAACCAAGGCAACTCTTATACCTCGGATTCTCATACTAGGTAACGCCATATAAAGAATCCTGGATGCATTGCCAAAAAATTATTTGAAATTTGTTGTTTGTATTGTTAGGTATTGATAAAATGATGGTTTATTCAGAGGCTTTAATTAATTTTTTTTCCCTTGGTCAATACTAGGAATTTCAGCAATGAACTATTGTTGTTTCCATCTTCCAATGTGCATATTTTCAAATAAATATATTTATTCTAAATTTATATATAATTGTAATACATATATTCTTAATGGTTTGCATGTATATATTTTATTTGTATGTTGTATTTGCTTTTGAACATGTATTTGTTGTTTCTTAAGACATGAATTGAAATGGAAGTCAGTCACACAGTCTTAATAATGAAAAGTACTGTCAACTTTGTGCCTTATACATTTTTTTATTATAGTAAATTAAGTTCAAGTTTAAGTATTTATAAGTTTAAGTATATATACTGTCTCTTATACACATCTGTACAGGTCTAAGGAACCCTAATGCAGTTGATGAAAATGCCAAATGTCAACATGTTCATCACCACTCCCTGTCAAAAGTAAAAATGTTTGTTTCTAACGGAGCAGCATGTGGGCTAGCCTGGCCCAGCCAACCGCAGTAAAATCTGTTAGAATCAGTGTCCAAGCCAGAGACATCCGGGCTGAGGTGGATGAGGCTGATCCGTCAGGAAATGATGGCCCACCTATCTGTCGAATGTAAACATGTTTGTTCCTTCCCACCAAATGTAAAGATTTTCGTCTGTCTACCCCGAGCCAAATGTAAAGATGTGTACACCCATCCCCAACCAAATAATAATAATGGTTGACTTTTAGAGCACTTAAAAAAAAATGGTTAATGCACTCCTGTTTGTCTCTCCATCCACTACTAGATGTACAGTAGATATGCATCTCCGTCCCTGCCAAATGTAGATATGTTTGTCCATACGCCCTGCCAAATGTAAAGATATGAATATTCATCCAGAACCAAATGTTTCCCATGCCCCTAGTAAATGTATGTTTGTCCCCACCCTTTGGAAAATGTCCCTACCCTCTTGCCTAAACATGATCTTATACAAGTGAATTAGTATCATTATTTTAATACACCTCTTTTATTTGTGTCTATTTATCACATTGTAATAACTTCATTATATTTTGTATTGTATAACTTTTTAAATAGTTTTTATTATTGTTTCCTGCACGTCTTCCAATATACAAAAATCAAAGTAATATTTAATAATGTGAATAAATATTTTATATGGCTGCAATTGTATATTTTTCTATAGCGTACTATTATATCATTCCAGTGGTATTTTTTATTTTTGCTTTCAATAAAAATTATTCTAATGATAATACAGTATTTAAATTTATTGTAGTACAGTACTAAAGAAACTAATAAAATACAGAACCAACATCAAATCACTATGAAATGCTTAAGAAAAAAAATGTTGTTATAGCTTGTTTATTTACTACTGGTTACAATGCATATTACTGTATTATATACAATCTGTTAAATGAATTATATAACATATAATTAATAAATTTAAAAAAAAAAAAAAAAAAAAAAAAAAAACAGAAATCGTTCCACACTCGTGTCCATTAATAAGAAAATGTTCAAATCTATCAAATAATAATGTTCCAAACCGATATTCTGAAAATGAAGTTGAATGATTACATTACTGTGCAGCCGACCCAGTGATAAAAACAGTGATATGAACATAAAGGTGTGAAGTATCAGTTATGTTACCATAATAGTCGGTAACTAGTAGGATCTATCTTGTTTTGGGGACTGCTAATACGTTTAAGTATTTAGAGTTTTTATATATATTTAAAACACCTTTTCATAGTCTATGATTCAATGTTGTGTTTTTTTGGAAAATAAAGCAAAATGAAGAACATTATGCTGCCTTTCAATAATTTTCAAATTCACATAGTACCAAGTGGTCTCATGACATCGACATTACAAATCCAAAAGTTGAACTAAAAAAAAATAAAATAAGCTAACTACTGCTAACACACCCACAATTACAAAACAGACACAAACTAAGGTGTCATAATAATAAAGTATAATCAGTGAAATATTTTGAATCTTAAAACAATGGCATATGTATCTATACAGGACTGGGGCTTTGTCTTATAAGGTATCATAAAAATAACAAATAAAATCAAAATGTTAAGTAAATCCTGGTTTATTACTCTAGCCACATCGTTTTGGTTAAATTGCTACACCCATTCTTCAATTTGTTGCCAACAATTCAGAACTTGAACCAAGTCAACTTCTCTGTATTTCTTTTAAAAAATCGCTACTGAAACAGTTTAAATTAATTAAAAATTGAAAATGCACTAAATAAATATATTTTCAAAAATGGGCTGTGTAATTACCGTAAAGAAAATTTGAAATTGTATGATGCCGATTATTTGCCAAATATCTTTTAATGGTGTTTATCAATTATATTAACATCAATGGTTTTTAGCTCTGATGAGGAGCTCTAGAAACACTCGGCTGATGATTAATCTGGTTGATTGATAGATCTTTCTTGTATGGGCAGCCATTAGAGCCAATATACTCTACTGCCTCAGGAGCTCTAGCAACACTCGGCTGATAAATAATTATCTTTTTTGTATGGGCGGCTGTTAGTGTAAATATACTCTACAGACTCTATTATATACTGCCCTCATCGGAGCTTTCGAGATGACGAAAACTTCGTTTGTAAATGTGTACTTAAATCTGTATTAGCCTTCAAGTAAAATTATAAATTGTCACCAATCAATATTTATTGGTAACTGTTCATTCCATGTCCTAGTTCTCTCTCAGATGGTTTTCAAATGGTTGGTCTATGTATAAATTATGTATAAAATTCATGACATTCCTCAGAATTTAGAAACATCCTGCTCCAAACTGCCTTACGATGCAGGAATTTGTGGTAAACCAAACTCATCGACAGGAACACCATCCTAGAAAGGAAAACATAATTATTAATTCATTATAATAAAATAATCAATAATAGCTTTTTTGAGCTTGATGATATAACAGCAATTGTTCGAATATTCCACTGTTTATAATTTATCATTGGTACTCTTCACAATAAGCAATTAGTAGAGCTCCGCATAGTACACTAGGAAAATTATTATACGAAGGTTAGATTTAATGCCGAAGGAAATCTTTGAATGCATTAAATCTAACCTAAGTAAATAATTTTCCGCTAGTGTACGATGAATGCTCTACTAATTGCTTTATAAGTGAATCGCCGTCTTTTAATGTTAGTTTTGATAACCAAGTGTTGTAGCAGTCATCGGTTGTTATAGTGATATGACCAGTATACTGAGTGCGTATTTACATTTAGCTGTGCATATGCTGGTTTGTGCTCCTGCAGTACGCGCTAACTACACGTTAGCAGTAAGAACTTGTTTGTAATGCTATTTGGATAGACATTCATCAAAGAAATAAACACTTCTTAAAGCATGCGAGAGAGAATACAGTCACTGACTTTTTGGTTAGTGCAGACAGGTAAAAATCGTGCGATGATTTCATAACTACGCCAGGCTACTAGTAGGAGAAGGCTTCGGCAGCCTCCTGCCTGACCATAGGCCTACAGCTAATTTTGTTCATTGAGTCCTTAAAATAAGTCTAGAATATTCCTATTAAACGTTCAGTTTAGTTTATTAGAATTCATTGATTCAAGGAATTCCTTAATTGTTCATACTTTTAATATTAAATTTGAAGTAACTTTCTTCAGGTTTTAAATAACCTTGTTTTAGGAAAGTAATTTTCAATTCGGCCTACAATTCAATTTTCATCGCGGTGAGGGATATCTTCGCAGTGACGAAAAATTAGGTATTTTTTGCACACAAACCTAAAAAAAATCAAGCCAAGCGTCCACTATTGAAATATTATTGGACTGTGAGGGATAGGCAAATAACATCGGGAGTTGCAGTGATGATGTCACGATTGACTAATAATAAATATTAAATAACAGGTCCATGCAAAAGAAATAAATCTACTTAGATTCCTTATAAAGTGAAGCTTGGTGGTTAAGATGTTTGCCATCCCACAACAGGATCTTGGGTTAAATTCCTGTCATGGTAACAGGATTTTTTTTATCACAACATGGAACAACACCACTCACTAAAACTTGTTATGAGATGGGCACATACTGCGTTATATGCCGTCTGTTAATTGTCGGTGGCAGGGTGAAGTCATTAAAAACGATCCGTTGCTTGCACGTTGTGGCGTGCATTTCCATAGAGCCACGTCTGCTCATGACCTCCAGCGCAGTGAGTTTGCAACTGCTAATATCCTTGGATATTGTAGCTATAATAATAATTGAAAATTGACTTACCTTAGAAGCGACCGAGTCTGCTCCAAGCTCGGTGTCTGGGGCGGCAGGTGCCGAGATTGCCTCGTCCAGGTAAGAACTGTCATCATCAAAGAGCATCTCATCACCAAGGGCATCTAGTTCTAAGATATATAAAAAATAATGTACAGTATTACATAACCTAAAAAACACCAATATATACATAAAACAACAATACAATATTTGTGGGGCAACACATTTGTTTGTGAGACAAGCACCTATTCCTAGCCCTGTTTTGTTTGGTTAGTTGTTGAGTTTGACTGACATTCCAGAAAGTTTCATTGCGTGTTAGTTGATTGTCGTTACCTGCTTCTAAATCATCATCATCAATCTCAGGCATTCCGTAACTCCTGGACATCATTTCCTGGACTTCATTCGCTTGTTCCAGCATGTCTTCCATATCATCTTGCAAATCCTACATATAACAAATATATTCATGAATAATAGAATGACAACAGCAGTAATAATAACAATGATAGCAGCAGCAGCAGCAGCAGTATTATTAGTAGTAGCAGACGAGTTGATTGGTAAAGCGGTTAAGGCAGCTGCGCCACAACTTATAGACAGTGGCGGCTCTAGGATACATTTTCTGGGGTGGGGGCCAAGCTGTCAGAAATGGGGACTCGAGCTTACATGACTTAGGAGGGGGAGGGTTTGGGAGGGATTGCCTCCCTCCCAAATTACATTTCTTTTTAAAAAAAGGGACCTCTGGATGGCCAGAAATAGCATTCTACGACTGTGAAAGACATGTTTTGCCTTGGTGTAGGCCTATTATTTATTTTTTTTTTGTTCGACTGCCAGACAGTTCAATTCAATTTAGTTTTATTGTCCAATTTTAAAAAGGAAAAGCAGAGCGGAAACAATTCATTGCATATTTAAAAATATAAAAAAATTGTACACAGAGTAATGAAAAAAAACAAAAAAAAGCAAGCTCCGTCGTGAGGGGGGGTCAACCTCTGCCCCAGGTGATGCCGCCACTGTTACCGACATAATATTGGCACTGGTTTGAGCAGCAGACTGGTCTATGGTGGTCTACTGGCGGTAGAACAAGTCTTCTCGGGTAAGGACTATAAACCATGAACCCAGTGTACACAAATTGGCTCGTATGCACAAGGAACCCAGTACATCACTCAACATGAAAAGGGGGATACCCCGGGGTACTAGTCCAAACAGCCGCTGTGGTTAATGACGAGAGCTACTAGTACCGGTTTACCAGGTAGCACAGACACGAGGCTACTAGTCCAGCATCAAGCATCTTGTTTGATAGATACCAGCATGGTATACAAATCAGTAGTAATAATAGTAATAGTAGTAGTCGCAGTAACAGCAGTAGCAGTAGCATCAGCAGTCATAGCTGTAGTTACAGCAGGAGGCTGAGAAGTAGAAGTAGTAGTAATAGCAGTAGAAATAAAGTAGTAGCAGCAGCAGTAGCAGCAATAGCAGCAGTAGTAGCAGAAACATAAAATGTGACAGAGTGGACATCAATTGCATGTTCTTACATCTATTTTATCTAAGTCAACATTCTTGAACTCCTTCTTCATTGACTTCACACCAAGCTTCATTGCATCCATGGTGGTCTTGGTGTCTTTGAGCGTCTGTGTAGCATAGTTAGCTTGTTCCATGTTAAATGATTGGTTACGAAGATTATCTGCCTGTTGTTCATACCTGCAAAGTCATGAACTATTTTAATTGACTGGTGTAACAATAGCCACTAAAATGTAAATGTTTGTATGTAGGTGAGGATACAATCTTTGAACCCTTTGATTTTCTATTCTTAATCTGATGATTATCATTAATAATTCACTATAAATTAATATTATTAATATTAACAATATTATTCACATAATCTACTTACATTTTCTTTTGCTTGAGAACACGCATTGCTCTTTGTTTTACCATGTTCTGTAAACGCAAAGACAACAGGTTGTCATAACGACAGATAATAGTGAAACACTGGATGTACAGTACAATTATACAGTATAACATTGTGTCAAATATTTACTTCAACATTTTAAATACATTTTCTGTACAGTAATAATTTATTATAAAATAATGCAAAATATAAAACATATATTTAATATTTTATTAACATTTAAGTCTATACCTTACATTCAATAAATTATTAAGAGCTGTAGTAAAATTTGTTTGTACAAATTATTGATGATGTATGTTTCTTCATGTTGCAAATATGGGTGAAGATTATTTTGTTTTATGCATTAATGTGTTTTAAACATTTCATTATAATAATATAATGCCAATGGTTTTCAAAAGCAAATATGTATGGTATAGTGATACTGTAATTACCTTGGATGGACCATCCCTCATTTTCTTCATCTGATCTTTGTATTTCTTAAGCTCCATATCCAGTTTGTTTATTTTTTTTTCTATAGAATCTGTTCTTGAATCAACCTGTTTTGGGAATTAAAAAAAATATACTTTAATACAAACAAATACATGTTTCTTGTCTCCTCTGTCTGGCTTCTGTTTTTGAGGGGCCTTATTGTGTATTTTAGTTTTAAACTTTTACTTAAAATAAAGGCTGTTTAAAATAAATATAAGCCCTAAACTGATTTTTTTCATTGTTTTTGTAAATGTATAATAATAATACTTTATTTGAAAAACTACGCATTTCCATCGGCGGCACACATCACGCGTAGCAATTGATGGTGTGTTCATAAAGAAAACATTTAAATCAGTTTTGGCTGACTATTGGGCTGAATAAAGAATGAATTAATGATGAATCTGACTCAACTACTGTGATTAAATGCTGGCATAAATTGATCCGAGTTAAAATCTAAGAACAAGGTCTAGGCCCTATGCTTTTTGTTTGGGAGTTAGGGAGCGGATCCTTATTAATAGTTATAGAAAGGCAGACAGATGTGTGTGTGTGTTGCTCATCAATAAGGCAGCCTAGCTAGCTAGGCTAGGCCAAGGAGGTTGGATTGGATTGGATTTATTCGGTGTACACACCAAAGATAGCCCACGAAAGTCTAGAAGACGACTTATTTTCAGTGGGGTCCTTCGGGAGGTGATTGGACAGTACACCGGGAGACAATCCCCTACTCTTTTCCGAAGAGTGTACTGCGTTCTTTAACGTGCACATGGGCCATAAATGTACACGGGACCAACGGCTTAAACGTGTCATCCGAAAGACGGTACGCAATTGTAACTTATATTTCAGCCCTCACTAGGCTAGCTGAAACACCAAGAGGAGAGGCAGCGATGGGAATTGGACCGGGGACCTAGAGATCTCCACAGTTCAGCGCACACACAGTGGATACCACCAGATTTAGCCGACTGAGTGAGCTAAGCTGCTCTCTTAGTATGAGGTATGGGCTAGGCATAGGCATCTAGGCCTAGGCTAGCTAGGCCTAGCCTAGGCCTAGCTAGGCCTTGGCATATCTATCCTAGGCCCTAGGATAGATATGCCAAGGCCTAGCCCTCCCTAGGCCTAGCCTATCAAATATCCAATATTCTTATATTTAGTTAAGCATCAACTTACGTTTTTTATACAATCTGACATATTCGGCGGAGGAACTTTCGCCTTTGATGATCCAAATAATCTATTCATCTTCGCAATTGGGTTTTTGAAAATTTAAGAAATAAAATATTCTTTGACGAGGTATCCTGCGTCTGATGCTCGGAACTGACTCGACAACACGGGATTTGTTTTTTATTTTTTTAGTATATGACGTCATTTAATACAATAAGCGCCCTCTCTTTTTTGTCCATCAGCAACAACAACAACGATCTTATTTTATCAACAAAGATCAGATTCCGATGATATCATAATTAATGTCGAAATATTGAATCCCAACACGATGGCGTGCATTTCAATACTGGAGTATGTATTGCACTTTTTTATCCAAGATCTTTGATCAACTACAGCTTCTCCTGATTGGTATGGACGGACTTTACTTGAAAGTCCATTCATTAAGAGTTATTGAGCATGTTATTTTACCTGGAGTAAATTTTTCCTTACTTCTTTATGTTTTTGCATGCAATAGTTAGCTAACAAATGTTTGTAAAAAGCAATGTGCAAGTATAATCTTGATATTTTGATCGGCTTGCTTGGTTATTAACTGGTTGGTTGGTTGGTTTGGTTTTTGGGTAAATATTATTGTGTGTACAAGTGAATTAAACTTACAATGAATTAATTGATGTAGTTTAGCATGAATTACATAATATTTATAACTAGCTTAAAATGTATCATTGTAGATGATATGAAGAGAAAACTGTATAATGTAGGCGTATGTTTATCTATAATATTGATCTTTCTTCATTTTAATACATCCTCTAGGGTATCACAATTTAACAGGATTTACTTTAAGTCTCTTACCAAAATAAAGCTACAATCGAGTGTTATAGTGTTATGCCCAAGAGTTTGATGGACCGTGTGTGCTTAAGTCTACTACATTGATCCACCAGCGACAGGGATTAAGCTATATCATCACATGACTGGGCTTGTCAGGATCAGTTCTGTCTTCTGGTTTCAAATAGGCCTATACCTTTTCCCAGTGATTGACATCTACTCATACACTGGTATCATTTATGGCGGGGTTTTGGTGATAGTGATTTTTTGGTGAATTTTCCTGGTAATAAGGAATCAGTCACTCTGACATCTACCCCCAGGCCATAGGCCTACTGTAAAATTCAACTTTTGGTTTGAATTAAAACACAAGTTTGCCATCGGACGTACTTCCCGCCCGATATCAGGGGCGGATTTATACCTTTTGGGAGGTAAAAAAAAGAAGGAAAAAAAAAAGAAAAAAAGAGAGAAAAAGAAAAAAATGATAGCCCAGAATGCCTCAAATGTTATGTTCGGGCGTCTAGAACACAAAAATTTCGCGGGGGAATGCCCCGGACCCCCTACAACAGTGTTGTTTCAATCGGCCCAACTTCCATCCCCCCCCCCCCTTTTTTTTCCCCCCCCCTTTTGGACATTTCTGGATCCGCCCCTGGATCATTTGTCGGCAT